CGCGACGCGACGCGACGCAGCGCAGCGCAGCGCAGCGCAGCGCAGTACAGCGCAGTACAGCGCAGTACAGCGCAGTACAGCGCAACACAAGGCAACGCAACGCAACACAACGCAACGAATCGCAAACCCATCGCAACGGCGGCGTCGCGACGCGACGCGGGGTGGCCGCGAGTGCGCAAGCACCCTCTCCATCGCTTGCGTGACAAGTGTCCGACCGTTTCGCTCGCAAAGTTCCTCGCGGCTCGACGCGGAGCGCATCAAGCGAGTGCTGTGCCGGAGCTGGAGTGTACGCGTGGAATATCTAAGAGAAGACCCTGTGAGGCTCGAGATGGATGTTTAATCCTGTGACGACGAATAGGCAGCAACCTCATCTACGAGGGCGTTCTCGCGTTGGTAACGACGGTGACGAGGATAATGAGCGCGACGTCAGCGATGATACCACGGTCTTGGCGTCGATAGAGGAGCACCTTGGAGCGATAGACAACCCTCGACCCCTCGTCACATTGTCAGCTGGAGAAACGGTTGTCGTGGGTGTGTAACCGTCTGCTCGGGGACGATCGACTGCGTGGGCGTCGCGGCGGCCGTTAGAGGCGCGCCGAGAAGCGCCATTGTCGTGTCGGTCGCCACGTGAATCGCAAGCGGACTTCTCCTCGGACGAGATCGAGGGATCGTGCGGAGATCGCACGGATCGGTATCCATTCGTCAAATGGACGTGCTCCGCTATTCATCGAGCATGTCTCTCGCAAGCACGGTGGGATCCAGTTAACGAAACGGTGATATACCCTAAGGGTCACAGTGGTTGGGATGACGCATCGCCTCGTTGCGGGCTCCGGAAGATAACGGAGCGGAAATATCCCGACAAACATCGAAAAGCTACAGGCGTTAAAGTGTCAGCAGCAGTAGCAGTAGAAGTAGCAGCAGCAGCAGCAGCAGCAGCGACGACGGCGACGACAGTGTTCGACCGCGCAAAGATCGAGTCGCGCGAAAGTGGAGTCCTATTTATCAGCGGCGGCAACCCAGTGACCCGTTTTCGTTTTCAATCGATGCGGTACCAAAGAGTTTCGAAGGATCGGAAGGACAGAAGGGCGCAGCCATTATCTAGCAGCAGAGTCCAACCGATATCGTTCAAGTATCATCCCGTGTGCGGAATCGCGCGTTGATTAGATCCACGATTAGGAAGTCGAGAAGCTACGGTAACCCGAACCCTGAGACTCTATTTATTGCTGTCTCGATAGCGGTGAACGGGCGAAGCGTCACGTCCGTGAGATCGAGGATCCGAGGATATCGCGGACCTTGGGTGAGATATTTCGCGTATCGTCCGATGGTGCATTCGGGCAGCGCAGCGCGTGAGGCCGGGCTGCAAGAGAGAATGCGAGAGCCTCCTCACAGCCTGTGAACATGATTTGTCATACACATGCGACGGGCAGTAATCGTACGACGAGAGACACCGACGACGACGACGACGACGACGAGGAGGAGGAGGACGACGAGGAGAAGGACGACACCCGACCACTCCGCGGCCATGCCACGAGCACGCTGTGCGCTCGCATGAGACCAGCCCGACTACTGCCCGATTGCCCTTCCACGTATCAGCAGCAACAGAAACAACAGCAGCAACTACTGCAAAGGCTGCGAAAAAAGGGGAAAAAATTGGTATCGCGTCATACATTGACCAGCGTAAAATCTAAGGACGTGATCTACCGTCATCCGTTATCGTTATCCCGCGTAAAGGAGGCCACACCGAAGTCATCGACCACGATCACGGAGGAGGTCCCGCTTGGTCTCGATTGGCGCGACCTGCGAGTGCAACGTACCGCGAGTGCCGAGCCGACGACGACGGTGCAACCGTCACGACGACGACGACGACGACGACGTAACCCCGGTACGCTCGCGTTCCCGCGTCGGTGCGGTGCGGTAGTGCGGTCAACGGGTGTCGGATGACTTCCCCAGGCCGACAGACGTGTTATGTAGTCGTAGAAGGTTATTATATATTGTCTCGGTCATTATATCCAGTAACGAAAGCCGTCGTGGAAGAGGCGCGTCTAGGGTGCAGCCCCATCGGAGCAACGTTAACGTCCCGTCGACGTCGACGTCGTCGGTGGTGCGCCGGCCTGCCTACCCGCGTCATACCCACGTCGCATACCCCGTGCACGCGCGTACATCGCCAACACCGTGATGGCGGAGGCACTACCTCAGCCTGACATGTCGCACCTCACCCCCGAGGAGAGGCGCATCATAGAGGGTGTTTTAATGCGCCAAAAGGAGGAGGAGGAACAGGATCATGAGATTATGAGGTACGCGAATATAGACTGTATGCTCGTTATATTACATGTACTTTGCGAAAATTTTGCCTCAATAACGTGTGGACACGTGGAAATTTTCCCTTCTTTCCCAAACTTCCTACAAAGAAATTTAAATAGAAATAATTATATGTGTGGTGTCTTTCACATATATATTAAGTTTATTTGTATAAAGCAGCACATCGAAAAATAATCCTGAATACCCGCAGAATATAAACTAATAGTAACATTATATTAATCAATTAACGAATTAGAATCAGGTAAATAACAGTTTAATCAAATAAATAACAGAAAAAGGAGTTACGAGCCAAGCAAGTTGTTCGATGTTAAGTACTAGAAAATTGAATCTTTGTATAAACATCAAACACAAATGTTTCAACCTGTATCGGGTCATTCTCAATATGAAAAATTAAAATTAAAAGATTTATATAGAACACACGTAATGTTGATTAGTACATAATATTGATCATAAAATTGACAGTTTAAACTGTGTAATTATAAGCGTACAATAAAAAGTATTAATTTGCTCTTAAAAACACGTTCGCTCGTAATTTTTGTGGTAGTTAATAACCGCGCAATCAATACTCTGAAAAAGATTGGAAAAATTGTCAAATCGTGATGCAAAATTAATAAAATTCGCAGAGAATGGTAAAAATTGCTTGGCTTGTAGTATTGTATTAATGATGTAATGTCCTACTCAACAATGTAAGTGTTACATATAACATGTATTATATTATATTTATATTGTTGGATAGGAAATTATAATATTGATATAATTTTACTGTTAGTTGTGTTCTGCGAATAGTCATTGTGACATGAAGTCTATTGCGTATCTATTCCGAAATATACACAATATACGAGTATTATTATGCTAAATGTATTATATGCAAAAAAGAAAAACTCATAAAAGGTCAGTGAGTTAATTGACAACGTATAATCTCAAGATATGAAAGAGATAAAGATAATACAACGTATACAATAATAATTTTATTCATTTAATAATATTTAAAATGTTGAATCTGATGGAAAATGGTATAAATTACTAACAATAAGTAATAAGTAATCGATAATAAATAATTAATAAGTAATTATATAATTTAACTAAATAGTGTACGTAAACTCAATAACTGACATAGTTTTTCCTCATTTATGTCATTTAGTAAAACGTTAAATAACGAACTCGAAATATCATTATAAACACGGTACTAAAAACTTTTTTACTCTCTCCAGTGGTAGTTAGGTACAATATCACATCTTAAAGCGAGAATGTACGTTGAGGTTTTTTATTGCTGCCATATAAGCGTGGCTCGCACGTTGGATTCGAAACTATCGATGAAGTATTGTTTCACAAGCAGAACGCGCGAGCTTTCACACGGGTATTTAGGACTCTCTATTGCACCGGATATTGCCAGGCTGGTCAAATGCCTGTAATAACATTCACGTACCGTGATGCATGTGGCCGGTATTGTCCGTCGCGCTTTCGGTAATTGTGACCATTTTTGTTCCCATTGCCGCAAATAAAACCGTGAAACTGCATAGCGCCAGATGACACTATTGAGAGTACCGATATTTTGCTCGAGTAAAAATTTGATACATCAGCGTTGGTGGGGCACTTAAGCGGATATACGCAAATATCTTTACGATTTCTAGATTTACAAGAACTTATTTTTTTCAACAAAGCTTCAATATGTTGGAAATATATTTAGTATTTTTTAAAATAATTTCAAACTTGGATAACTTGGATAACTTGTGTGTTTGAATAAAGATTAAAATTAATTAATAGGTATTTTTATTAAGTTCTATATTTATTCGTAATTTACTCGAATATATTAATGCATTTAAAAGTGTGCATTACAAAGAGGGTAACAACTTTAATTGTAATAACGAATATCTATTTTAACGTTATTGGATCAGTGATAATCGCCAAGGTCAAGCCTCGACTAAGTTTAGAAGTTATCGGAATTAGTAGATAAAAGATATTAATGATCGGACCAGCGCAAAAGTTAGTGCAGAAGGCACGAAAAAAAAAAGTGAGACGTTTAGTTAGTTTTTACCGCAATTGGCAGACGCGGACGAAACGACAACCGATCGATTAGCTAAAGGTATTTCTTGACCAACGGGTCTGCTCCGGATCGTTTCACCTATTTTCCCGGCTCACCTGCTCATTAGTCCTTGACCGCTTTACACCTACATCTTCCATTTATGTATCCACGGCCCCGCACATGCTCCCGATTACTGCGTCGACTCTCATCTCTTTTGTATCAAGCGGTCAGAAATAAAAATTGCTTATAATTGTGTCTTCGACGTCCGCAAATATTCTCGCCCTTGTACCGCCTTCGCGGCAAGGTTCTGCGTCTCAGGTGACTCGTGCATCGTGCGATCGACTCGTCGAAACGTGTCGGATGTAATGTGGACGTACATACGATCGATTGCGATCGGCCTCGCCGTATCGTGATGATAAAAATAAGGCGGCCGATCTGTGCTTCGCTTATCACAGGAGGTGACGACTGGACCGGCGCGTCGGCGCGACGACGGCGGTGTGCGTAATTGCGCGAACGGAGACCGGCGTTCTACCCATGGTGGCTAACAATAACTGTAAACGAAGAGGAGGAGAGGGAGGAAAAGGGAGAGAGAGAGAGAGAGAGAGGGGGGGGGAGGCAAAACCGGGCGTTGCGCAGTGAACAGGTTTTATTGATAGGTCGTCGCGACCGAGCGAAAAACGGGAACGTGAGAACGAAGGGAAAGAGTAATGAGGAAAGCGTGCTGGTGCCATACCGATGTGCGCGAGATCATGTAATGTAGACGACAAGTACGTGTAGGGACGCATGTAAAATGCAAGGCGACGAGCCTTGACGTGGCGTAGTAACGAGCTGCTGCAGCTGCATAGGGTATGCATAGGTGTATGCGACCATAGCTCGTGGACGGGGTGTGAAAGCGTTTGGATTGGCACGGTAAATTCTTAGAGGGTGAAATACGCGTCTTGCAGATAGCACGTATCCGTACCGACGGTGGTAAGGGGTAAGGGGTGGGAGGGATGGGTGAAGGAGTGCAAATATCGTTGAATAACGACAAAATAGGCTGGACTTGCAAGAAAGTTAAGCTAGTAATTACGCCCTTGCGTTGACTTGCCGTTTATCAGCGTCTTCGATTTTAGAAAGAGTAAATAAAACTCTAAATTTCTGGGAGAAAGATAAATTACCCGTGGCTCCTCTGAAAAAAGACGATGAATGTGCATTTCGGAAAATCGGAAGTCGTTTCCTTTATCGAGCATTAACGTTTTATTGGTCTTTGTTTTATTTTATAGATACACTGTAAAAAATAAAATGTTAATTTTAACTTAAAGACGTATAGTGGACTTTCTGAGACATGCGAAAATGTTAAAATTAACATTTTTTTGTCTCAGAAAATCCACTATACGACTACAAGTTAAAATTAACATTTTATTTTTCACAGTGTATCTACGATCGCACGAGGTATACGATATTTGTATGATCCTAAGACGCTACATTTCTTCAGGGAATGGAAGTAACTCGTTACTTGTAACGAAGTTACAGTTACAAGTTACTTTTTTGGTAACTTTACTAGTAA